CACACACACACACACACACACACACACACACACACACACACACACACACACACACACACGAAGAGGCACAGGACATTATCTTACAAACCAGAAATAGACCTTTCCCTCACAGGCCCCCAGAAAAATTCAACTGAACCTGAACCATGACTTTGAACTTGGAACTCTCTGGGCTGTACAGAATAGATTCCTGTGGTTTAAGCCACCCAGTGGTGTACTTTATTACAGCAGCCCTTGAAAACTAATAAGATAATAATAGCCACAGATCTCTGTCCCCGAGCACTGTCGAACTATAGGACTGGTTAAAAACCACAGAAACTCACTCATGCTTACTGAAGCAAACAAATAAGCAAAAATGTGAATGCATAAAAATCCAGACAGGACATAAGCATCACACACATGCTTCGTCTCTTCCTCTGTCCCTGTCTTCCTCTGTGGAAACTGGCATCTCGATCTCCTCTTCCTCTGTTTTCTCTTCCTCTTCCTCCTCTTTTCTCTTCCTCTTCTTCCTCTCCTTATTCCCCCTCTTTTTCTTCCTCATTTTCTTGTTCTTCTTTTTCTTGTTCATATTTTGCTGCTGCTGCTCCTCCTCCTCCTCCACCTCTTCCTCCTCCTCCTCCTCTTCTTCCTCCTCCTCCTTCTGCTCCTTCTCCTCCTCCTCCTTCTGCTCCTTCTCCTCCTCCTCCTTCTGCTCCTTCTCCTCCTCCTCTTCCTCCTCAGAAGCAGGGCACTGGTGGTTCAGCCTGTAATCCTAGTTTCTCAAGAAGCAAGATGTAAGGATCACAGTTTGAAATGAGCCCAGGCAGAAAAGCCTACGAGACTCTTTATCTCCAGTTATCCAGCAAAAAGCCAGAAGTGATGCTCAAATGGTAGAGTACCAGCTTTGAATGAAAAAGCTAAAGATCAGCACCTAGGCCTCAAGTTCAACTCCCAGTACTGGCATGCACACACACACACACACACACACACACACACACACACACACACGTGTGCACGCACGCACGCAAGGCATTTGGTCTTCTATACTGCCCAGATGAAGGTAGTAAAAAGTACGGTCCCAAGCATAACCTAAGTTTGTGCATTGAAGACACAACAGCCTAGAAAGAAATCTCCTGGATCACATAGCAGTTTCCAGTTCTCAGGGTGGGAAATCTTATTCTACCACCTTGGGTCAACTGCCTAGCCATCAACATGACCATAAAGGTATTGTATCAGTACACAGACAGGGTGCTCCCACTGTGTGGAGCACGGGGAGAGGCCACTACCAAAAAAGGGACAGAGCTCCCAGATAACTGTGAGCCATGATGCCATACCACTGCATCGCTGAAGAAACCTAATGAAAATTGAAGAACACTTGTCATCTTCTAGTCATGGAGCTAGAGTGTCCTCTTCCACCTTCCAGGAGGCAAAAACACTTAGTAGTTATAAGCATGGGTCCTTGAATCAGAGATTCATGGGTCTCAAATCCAGTTTTGCCTTTAATTAATTGCATGATTATGAATATGTCACCATGGTTCTGTGTGCCTAGATCCATCACCTCTCAAAAAGAGAGAGGAAATGGCATTTGAGGTAGGGTTTAGGTGTGAATTTTGTTCATAGAAGAATCCAGTCAGTGTCAGAAACTGTAACACTATTCACACTTGATAAATTCCTTTTTGCTTTGCTTTCTCCCTTTAGGCAGAATTCTCAGAGTTGAACCTGGCATCTTATGTAACTGGGGGCTGCATGGTGGACATGCAGGTCGTGAGGAATGGGACAAAAGTTGTAAGGTAAGAGGGGGTGAGCTATGGAAAGTCTTCTGAGATGTGTCCAGGATACGACATATAACCTGCCCCTACCTGCTGCCTGCCACCCGACTCTTCTACCACATGTACCTTCATGTATAGGAGATTTGCTCCTAACGTCTCAGGTATCACTAGACAGAAATGACTGATGGTACAAATAGCATAGGAAACAGCTGTGATACCCAGGAATCAATCCTAGCAAAAAGAGTACATGAGAAGAGGTAATAACTGTAAGGCTAGAGGTATAGCGTTGTAGTAGAGCACCTGCCTAGCAAACACAAGGCCCTGGGTTCAAACCCCAGTACCACCAATAGTAATATTAAATAATAATATTATGAAACTTATAAACACCAAAGATCACAAACTTCAAAAATTGAAATAACTACTGGGAGAAATTTTGAGGCCAAGGCCAGATATACAAGCTCTGTTCTTCCGAGAGCAACGCATTTCATACAGGAGAGCTGTAAAAGCTTAAGATGTTGCAATTTAGGTATTTGTAGGTGCTCATGCTTGACATGATTTGTGCTTGGGGCCCAATGTCTTTTTGGAAAGGGACCGAATCTTCTTCTTGGTAACTTGTGGAATGATGATCCCATCTCTCAACTTGGGCTGCAGATTCAAATCACCTTTTAAATATCTTTTAAACACACATACCCATGTGAGGAGGCGATGTCCGTAGCTTCGTATTTAAAGCTTCTTGGATGATTCCATTCACCAAGCGGGGAAATAGCCTCAGCCTGTTCCCCTGTTGGCTTTACCCACCCCTGGGTGGGGGTGGGGAGGGGATCAGCTGAAAGGCCAAAGAAATCAGAGAGTATAAGCCTTCAACCTTCCTGACTTTATATAGCAATTGTTTATAAAAATGAAGTTCTAGCCAGGCCTAGTAGTTCTCACTTGTAATTCCAGCTCCTTGGGAGACAGAGACAGGAGGATCTCAAGTTTAAGGCCAGCCAGTTGAGAGCAAAGTTAAGGATAATAAAAATAATAAGGATAATAATAAAAGTATAAATTAAAAGCCTTATCCACAGCTAGTCTAGTTCCTGCCTAGCAAGTATGAGATCCTGAATTGAATCCCATATACCATACCAAAATAATTAGAATTAAAGATGTTATAGGAATGTTTCAGATAGGAGCAGCTAGATTTCTAGCATTTAAAAGTAGGCATCACATACCATTGTTATATATTAAATTGTGCGCCCCCCCATCACGTACTAAATTTTTAACCTATAGTTCCTGAGAATATGCCTTTTCTAGAAGTAGGACCATTGAAAACATAACTAGCTAAAATGAAGTCATAGTGAATAAGGTGGGCTCCTAATCCACTATGACTGATCCCTTTATAAGAAGAGGAAGATTTGGACCTAGAGACACAAGTCAAATTCCATGTAATACTGGAGGCCAGGATGACATCCACAAGCCACGGGATGTCCAGTCTTGTCTGTGAGGGCCCTGACACCCGGAGACAGACATGGCCCACATTCTCCCCTCAGAGCCCTCGGAAGGCACCACACCAGCTTTGACACTTTGATGGTGGGTTTTCAGCCCCCAGAGCTGTGAACGCGTGCATTTCCCTTGCTTTAAGCCATCGACGGACGTTGTGACAGTTTGTCAGAGCATTCCTAGAAAAACACCAAGCCAGCGCTGCGTCTCAAAATATTAAGATGCACACCAATCCAGAGGTCTTGTTAAGATGTAGATTTCCTATCAATTGGGTCTTCAGGGCGGGTCTGAGATTCTGATTTCCTGTGAGCTCTGAGGTGAAACCAATGCTTCCAGTTCTGCAGATGGAATTTGAGCAGAAAGGACTTGGACAAGCTTTGAGCAGCTACTGCTGTGTAAAATAGCCAGGGCCATAAAGGCGACGTAGCTCAAGCCCAGAGTTAGGGACACAGTGGGACTGTGGAGACTTATTCTGTCCCATGCCCAGGAAAGGTGATTATCATCTCAGCCAGGTAGCTCATTCTGACAAGCTTGCTACAGGTGACATGCGCGCGCACACACACGCACACACACACACACACACAAGCTTGCTACAGGTGACATGCACACACATGCACGCATGCATTCACGCACACATGCACACACACACACACACACACACACACACACACACACATACCAGGAAGCCCCTGCCTGACTCACTGTGTCCTATAGGTAGAAGTCCATGGTGTTGAGGGACCCTTCCTCCCAAGTAGGAGCATTGAACAGTACTCTCAACTTGCTGACCTTCTCGTGAAGGGGCTGCACTATGTTCATCAGCACTCCCAGGGTGGCCACACCTTCTGACTCCTCGCTCCCTAAGCACCTTCAAGGAAAGAAGTACAGGTTGATGACTTTTGTCAACTCTGCTAGGTTCTGCCCAGCCCAGGTAACTGCTAAAGCCTTCTCTAGGTGTGTCTGTCAGAATGTTTCTGGAAAAGATTAGTATTTCACAGTGGACTTGGTTAAGCAGATGGGTTGGTTAGTGAAGATATAGGTTGATACCATCATGTCATCCAAGACCCAACCAAACAGCAGAGAAAGCCTCCAAGGGCTCACTCTCTCTTCTTGCTACTAGACATGAGAGCTCTCAGTTTCCTGTAAGAAGTTCTCCCTGAGTTTTTCTGCTCCAGGACTCACAGCAATATCCCCCTCAGTTCTCAGGCCTTGGGCTGGGAATTAATGCCAGTGGCTTCCCCGTTCTCAGGTCTTTGAACTTGAACCTCCAATGACTTTGTTACTATAGTGTGGCTGTCTGTCTCTAGAAGGAGCTTCCTTCTATGTGTATCAGGATGGGTGATCATTGTCTGGGAGTGAGCGGTAGAATGTTCTTGCCTTCTAACACAGCACCCAAATTTTGCATTGGAGGGACCCCCTAACTTGTAGACTGTATGATGTGTGAACAGCCCTAGTATACTGGAATCTCACACACTGGGACCAAAACCAGGACAAAGGGAATTCCTCTTGAAATTTTTTTGATTAGCACTGGGATTTGAACTTGGGAGCTTGAACTTACTAGCCAGGTTGGACCAGCTTTGGCTTACAGTCCTCTGATATGGGACCACAGGCATGAACTACCATGGGTGGCTTATTTGCTGAAATGGGGCTGTATGTACTAGCTTTTTTTTGCCCTGGCTAGCCTCAAAACCACAACCGTTCTGATTTCTGCTTTTCCCAGTTAGCTGGGATTAGAGCTAGGTGCATCTCCTTGTAAAACTTTTGGCTGAGATGATCAGATTAGAGTTGTGCCGGAGCTGCTGAGCCGGTGGGAAAGATGCCTGGAGTCACTGGGGATCCTCTTTCTCCTAGAGAGAATGATCTACCAAGAATGAAGCCAAGGCAGAGAGGCCCATAGTGAAGACAAAGACCAAGAGATAAAGACTTGATGTTATTGTGCCTCTGAATCCACTTGAGCCCCTTCTCCCCACCCCCAAATAGAAAAGATCCCTTTAGTCTAAGCCAGCTTGAATTACACAAATGAAATGTTTGTTTGTTTAATACACATTTTTGTAGCCTTTTCTATATGCTTGGTGCTATTCTTAGCACTCGACATATATTATTAGTTCATCAGCCTTTCAGCAATCCTATAAGATGTGCACTTTGAGATGAGAGGCAGAAATAGCAAGAGTTTAGGTAACAGAAGTCAGATATCCAGCCGGCCAGTGGCAGAACTGGGGTCCTAGACCACAGCCAGTCTGGCTCCGGCCCCTACATGTGGTACCACTGCCCTACACTGTCTCTTGAAGGAGGGCAGCCTGTGTCCTCCAGCTGTTAAGAGAGACGGACCCTAACTGCCCTGCTGTGAGTGGTAACAACCCTTTGTAAGACAAAGCTGGTAAAAAGCTAAGGGTCTGACTGAGACAGGGGTGCTTCATGCTTCCAGCCGTGCTGTGGGCCGCCCCTTCCTTAGTGATAATAGCCCTTCCTCCCAGGGTCATAACAAGGAATAACAAGTTGAGAGTACGTACATTGCCTGCAGCAGTGCCTCTAGATCAGGGTAATCACTAAACGAAGTGCTGATCATTCTTATCACAGCCCTATATACAGAGGATGAAACTGAGTCACTTCAACTGAGTCGCAGCTGGGGCTGTTGTTAAATTGCACGCAGCGAACCAGACTTGTAGAAAACCAAAGCAGGTTGGCCACACCCAGGGGATGTGAGGTGCCGGGGAATATCCAGGTGTCTCTAACTCCTCCAGTCTCCTCTCTCTTTCTGCCTTGTGGCATTTGGTCCTTGGGCCTCTACCAGGCTGGCGTGAGCAGACCCTGAGTCTTTGTACAGAATCCAACAGGAGGTAGAGAGCTGTATGACTCATCTTTCTGGCACTGTGACAAAACACCTGAGTGTAATCATCTTACAGAGAGGAAAGGTTTATGGGAATACAGTTGTAGACGTGTCAGTCCATGGTTGCCTGGCCTTGTTGTCTTGAGTCTGAGGTGTTACCTCAGGAAGACATGACAGAGGAGCATGCTTGTCTTACGTTGGCTGGGAAGCAATCGGGAGAAAGGAAGGGTTGAGGTTCCAATATTTCTGTCAGTGGCACATGCCCAGTGACCTAATTTTTCTTCCACTGGGCCCCCATCTACTGAAAATCCCACTACCTCCCAACACTGTAAGAGACTAAGGACCAAGCCTTTAATACATGGCTTCTGTTCACATTTAAGATTCTGCAGTGGGGCCGATTGTATCTAGACTCATCTGGGCCCAGGAGGGCTGGGCTGTCCCTGTCACTTGAAAATCTGTAATTCAGACTTAGACTCTACACCTGAGCCTCCGCTTCTTTTACTTCATAAAGGGTGGAAGATGACTTGCCTAGTTTTGTTGTTGTTGTTGAAATGATTTTTCATTGTTATCATGAAGGTGGTGTGCAGAGGGGTTACGGTTGCGTAAGTCAGGTAATGAATACATCTCTTTGGATAATGCCTCCCCTTCCCTCAGTTTCTCTCCCAGTTTTTCCCTCCCATCCCCACCCACAAGTTGTATAATTCATGTTCAACATAGTGTC